AACGCCACTTCACCCACAGACTGATGGGATGGTAGAAAAGTACAAATGGACACTGGGACAGGAATTGGCAAAGTTTTGTAATAGCCGTCAAGATGACGAGGATGTCTTACTCCCTCCACTGTTGATGGCCTATAGGACAGCAGAGCATGAAACCACTGGATACATTCCAGCAAAGTTGATGTTTGGTCGGGAACTTTGGTTGCCAGTGGAACTGTTAACAGGACGTTTACCTTATGAAGAGTTGCCTGAGAATGTGTCAGAGTTTGTGAAAGTGTTATTGGAAAGGATGGATGATATTCACCACCAAGTGCATTTAAACTTGAAAACGTCTGCTGATTCGATGAAGTTAACTTATGATAAGAGATCTACTGAAGTCAGCTTTGTACCTGGAGACAAGGTATGGTTGTATAATCTCAGGAAGACCAAAGGGAAGTCTCCTAAGTTGTCTTCTCCATGGGAAGGCCCATATGACATAGTGGATCGTCTCTCAGACGTGAATTTCCGGGTAAAATGTGGTCGGCGAGGTAAGCCAAAAGTGATGCATGCCAACAGGCTTTGACATTATCATGGTCCAGGACATTTCAGTTGGGATGGAGTGGACAACAGGCGAAATGACGCTGCTGAAGACATGCCACCTGAAGAAGCCACTGTCGAAGAAGAAACTCTACTCAGTTTGGAGAAGAGAAACGGTGAAGCTCTTGTTGAAGTTACTACCACTGATGTGACTGTTACCGACGATAGGACATTTCCTGATGAAGCAGATGAACCCCATGTGAAGCAGAAGCCAACGAGATGGAGACCAGTACAGAAGAAGATACGTCCCGTAAAATTAAGAGACTTTGTTGAATTGTAATTTTGTGATTGTAATTCTGTACATTTAATTAAGTTATTGTTAATTGTTATTGGTTTATTGTAAGTGGCTATTGTTCGTCCCGAACAATACAAAGGAGGGGGTAGTGTTGCGTCAGCGAGGTCATGTGACTAGTATCACGCCACTCCTTCTCTCGAACCTTCGTGAATTATTGGGAGATTACTAGATTGAGGGTAGTCTGGTATATATAAGATGGTCACAACGTGACGGGAACAGTGTATCGAGTAATTGAACTGAAGTCAGAGAAAATATTGTTGGCCACGTGAGATATAGCGTTTGTTATAGTGCGACTGTTGAAATTAAGTGTATCATAAAGTTGTATTCGGAAAGAATAAACCAGTTTTATTCAAGAAAGGACTTGTGTCGCTAAAGTTTCGTCGGAACGAAGTTACGGAAAATCAACTAATGAACGGAGAGGTAACAATACAAATAACTCATGCCTTTAGCGTTCTGGTGAGACTTTCGGTTACCGATGACACCTGGTTGTAACCATTTGATAAGACTTTTGTTATACTGATAATCCGTGTTTGTAGTCTTCTGATGGGACTTTTCGCACACTTAAAACCAATGTTTGTAGTATTCTGATGAGACTTTTGATATACTTATTTAACATGCTTGTAGTCTTGTCATGAGACTTTCGATATACTGATAACAAATGTTTGTAGTCCTCCAATGAAACGTTTGGTATATTGATAACACATGTTAGTAGGCGTCTTATCAGACCTTTGGTACTCTGCTGGTGAAACGTTTCTTATTTTGATAATACAGATTTGTTGTTTTCTGTTGAGACTTTTCGTATAGTAACTAAACACTTGTTTGTATTCTCCTGAGGAGACTTTTTGTATACTGATAATACATACTAGTAATCTTAGATGTCTTCTCATAAATACGTTTGATATACTAATAACACATGTTTTTAGTCTTATAAAAAAATTTTCGTATACTGATAATACATTTGCAGTCTTCTGATAAAACATTTCGTATACTGATACCCCAAGTTTCTAATTTTTTGATGAGACTTTTGGTATACTGACGGCCCATGCTTTAGTTTTCAGATCAGACTTTTCGTATAGTAATTATATACTTGTTTGTAGTCTTTTGATGAGACTTTTGTTATACTGATAAAACATGGTTGTAACCTTCTGAGGAGACATTTGGTATACTGATAATCCATATTTGTAATCTTCTGAAGAGATTTATGACACCTTTGGTATAGTGATAACCATACTTTTGGTATACTGATGAAATATGTTTGTATTATTTTGGTTGGACTTTTTATACTGATAACAAATGTTTGTAGTGTTCTGATGAGACTTTTGGTAAGTAATAACCCATGTTCATATTTTTCTGATGATAATCTATTTTACAACAATAATAATATCAATAAGAACACAATTAGATCTTGCTTATAAAAGCTAAATAATTTATCGCTTCTTTATAAAGAATTTTAACAATTTGTCTTCTATTTGTGATTGAAGTATAATATGACTAAAATGCTTAAACCAATGTGTTATCTTATAATATGTAGATTTTATAAACTAAACCACCCTATAACGTAGTGTGTGTTTTTATTTACTTTCCTCAGACGCGTTGATATAAACATATATTTACATATTACTGACGTCTGGGATAAGTAAAAAGTTCCAGTGATATCTAAAATGTCCAACCTTGAACGTCTATAATCTAGTCCTTAGTTCTATAAGTTTATGTTAACTAAACCAAGTTTAATTCACTTCTCGGTAACACGTGTTGAACTTGCACGTAGTAACCTCGTGCTCAGAGAGTTGTAATGTTCAACAAGGTGACGAGTAGCTAGAGAGGACAATCTACTGATACTTGTCTTTAAGTTACTTGCAGCTAAACGAAAATTCTTATAATCTGATATTAATACGTAATATTAACAACATTCTTTGAGTATCTGAGGTGCTGTTGGTCAACATTAAATATAAATACTGAACTACAGTAAAACAACACCAACATTGTAGCGGTTCTTCCTTTACTTTTAGTACTGTGTTTATTAAAGGTAAGTGTAAATAATGATTAAAACATTGAACGTTATAGTTTGAAAAATAATTTGAAGCTAGACCTAAAAAACTTTAAAAGAATTGACTAGAATCTATTATTTAATAGTCTATCAAACTTCTTTATTTTGAATTGGTACTTGAAAGATAAGACTATTTACAAATTATCTAAATTTTCTATTAAACAGTTAAGTGAATCTTTCAGTACTTTATACAACTCTATTGTTAACGTGATATCTCATGTTAGTGTTCTACTCTTCAGACTTTTCTATAATGTTAATCCATGTTATTTAGCTTCTGAATGTTATTATCTTAATGATAATCAGTAAGTTTTAAACTCTTAGACTTTATGAATAATAATTTAATTTATCTAGAATAAATAATCAAAACGAAAGTGTCGTAAGTTTTAAAAACGTTTCAGCTGATGTCATTAATAATGTTTCATCAAGTACGATTGAAGTTTCCTATTTAGTTAATCTTAACATACATTAAGATGTTGTTTCTAATGTTTCTTTCAAATCTACTAATTGTTATTTTGATTTATAGCAGCCAAACAGTCTCTACTAAATGTGTGCTTGAAAGTTCTAATATAAACTTGTTCTTAATCTAAGATAAAATTGAAGAACAGTATTTATTAGAACAGTAGAAGTTACTAACCCTTCCTGGAATAAGTTCAAGTATAAGATTAGTATCTAATCTTCATGAATGATTCAGGAATAAATAGAACTTTTAATGCTAGAAACATGTTAATTATATTTAGGTTCACACAGTCGCTGAGCATTTTAACTATTTCAAATGCATCATTAAACAGAAGTAATTCTAATCTGTCTAAGTATAAAAATTCTTTAGTATATGAGTATTACATGTGTCTAAGTGTCAACTGACGATAATCATACCTAATCTATTTACTTATATTTACCTACATGTTTTAAGGCTACAATTAATGATACAACTTTAATCATCATGCCTGTTTTAGTGTTTTCTTTGGATCTAAAGACAGATACTTTTGATCCTTTAAAACACTCTTATTTTTTGAGTGATCTTTCTCACTAGATGGCGCTACAAGAATTTCTAAACTTGAAACTTATTAATAGCTAGAATCAATATATCAATAGATAAACAAGTATGATTATAATACAAAGTAATCTATAAGTATTGTTTCAATATGATTTCGTTGATTATAACTTTTAACGGATTTATTTTTTTCCAGATGGTGAGACATGAAATTTACCAAATGATGATCAGTATCAAACCTATGATGATTCTTCTTCTGGTTCATCAGAGCTGTCAGATAGACACGAACTTCAACAAATGTCAACTGACATCAGTATCAAGTGTACTGGATTCAATCAATCTACTGGTTACACAAGCTAAACAGAAAATACACAGCGATGGTAAGTCATCGTTTACATTACTTGTCTCTTAAAATATAAAACATGTAAATACTGGAACATGAATAATTTATTTTAGAATGATTGGTCCAGGAGAGGTTGGAAGACATTCCAGTTCTTCTGAATATAAGTCAAAGAAAATGGTATATACATAAGTTCACAAAGAAATAATAAAAAATATGTTTACAAAATAATTCTAGACACCTGAAAACATATGAAGAAATACATCTTAACTGAAGTGTTTTGCTGTAATTAAAACATTGATAGAAATTTTGGGTTAAGATTGTACAAATGTTTTCCTTAATGGACACCGTACTAGTGGAGTGTACCGTATCTGGCCCAAGTCATGGATGTTTACCGGAAGTTTCGATGTTTACTGTGATATGGACACTGATGGAGGAGGCTGGACAGTAAGTGGAAAACGGAAGTATATAAATTTGTTTGTTTGTATTTTGAATTTCGCGCAAAGCTGCACGAGGACTATTTGCGCTATCCGTCTGTAATTTAGCAGTGAAAGAATAGAGGGAAGACAGCTAATCATCACCACACACCGCCAACTCTTGGTCGTTGTAGTTCAGTAAATAAAACTGAAAACATTACCTGATCTTTATTGCTCCATGATAATCGGTTAAAGAATTTCAGAATATTATAACTACCGTTTATTAGTTTATTAGCTCAGTGAAACTTAGGATATAAGTTTTGATTCTATTGGTCATTATTTTAATAATATGTAAAATAGATGAAAAGTAACACAAAGTTCTAATTTCATTTTTAATTTTTTTTCTAATTTTTATATCACACCAGTCAGATCTATATAAACAAGTTCTACTGACTCTGTAGGTGATCCAGAGACGAGGGGATTATGGAAACCCCACAGATTACTTCTAAAAATCATGGCAAGAATACAAAATGGGGTTTGGAGACATCGAGAAAGATTTCTGGTTGGGTATGATGATATAGTAGTATAAACAGTTTCTACTGTTACTTGTATGTAACTATAATAGAAGTAAATGATGTAAGCTATGTATATAATATCACATGTAATAAATATTAAAATGTTAACTTTCACTCTGTCCACTTAAATAAACTGAAATCTTTGATAAATATTGGTAGATTTATTCATAACATTTTAATTTTGCATATAATTATGACCGTTATTGGTGTTAATTAGTTGAGATAACTTCTTTATTGTATTTACAATTTGATAAATAGAATTAATTAAAGTATCTTATTTTCTTAGGAAATTACTGGATTTTTACTTTAACGAACCAAGGAACTTATTCAATCAGATTTGATATGAAAGACGAAGAAAATGAAACACGGTTCGCCCTCTATCGGGAGTTTAGGATAGACAATGAAGACCTCTACTATCGACTACATGTTAAAGGTTACACAGGAGATGCAGGTATGGTTTATAACAATATTGATCAGGGTTGGATATATTTTCTGTATTATCTGACAATGAACATATAACATACTATAGTGTAAATATAGACCTGTAAACGTTGAATAAATTATTGTCTTATAAACTACGTAAAGTCATATCACGGATACTGAATGTCACATTTTTACTGATAGTTAGCTTAGTTAAACTGTCTTTTAACTCATTTGCATCTCTAATTTTATCCTAAACAGAAAATAAAACGTTTTAACAATCTTTCATCTACTTGCATTACTACAAAGTACGAACTAGAGCCAACAATAATGTTAACACTACAATAAATCCTGTTAACAATAACAGTATTATTAATAAACTGTAAGCTGTTTTTGTTGATATCAGAAATCAACTAAGACTAAAAAGGAAAAAATCATTTATTTATTGTTATTTTGTTAGAAAAATTTGTTTTATAAAATTATGCTTCACAATTTACGTCCTAAAGCTAAAACATTAATAAACAATCATGTCAAGTCAATGTAAGGAGCGCCCTCAGTACAGTTGAAATTACTTACATCAGCTCTGTGGAGGGAACATGCTGGTTTTAGGTTTCACTGTTATACAAACTAAAAGGACCAAACCTATAAGAACAAGTATTCACCCAAGTCATCCATGTTTTTGGGTAAAAACTAGAATCGACATGTTCTTCTGACTTGTGAGGACTTTACAAAATTATATTTGTAATTCATTCCACGACGTATTTATTGAACGAACGCTCATTTATGAGTTTTTTGTCATGCGATAAACTTTCAAATATTAACGTTACGGCGAACACAAAATGTAGAACACTAATTAGTATTAGGCCTATTATATTTTTTAAGAATTAGAATAGTGTACAGTAATAATATTCGAACCACATTATATTCGCCGTATCCAGATCCCATCAGGCAAATTGGGTCACATCAAACACTATGTATATAAGCCATTTATTACAACAAGTTGACAAATCATGAATATGATTAATTTCTTCTAATTAGACAATAATATTAGCCTGTTTAATTTTATAACACTTTATTCTATATCTAATCAGTTAGGGATTTTTAAAAATTAGAAGAGTGTACAATATTAGTATTCCAATTATACTGTGTTCACCATACCCATTAGCGACGACATGTTTCACTCAATCCAGAGTTTATCAAACCGGTTGGAACACACTGTTACGACAGCGGAAGTCGCGCGACGCTTGGAGCATGGGCTGGAGTTCTAAGCGATCGTGACTGTTCCTCGCAACTTTAGGCTTTTCTAGGCATGCTATATATAAGCCGGCAAATAAAATGACGTCGGAGAGATAATTGCAGACAGAGAGATTTAGAGACAGATAATCGAGTCAAGCCGTAAATAAAGTGTGTGAATCGCTGTGAATTCTAGCGTGTGTTTAAGTTAAAGTGACTGTGGAAATTAAGTGTATTGCAAAGTTGTATTGAGAAAGAATAAACAAGTTTTATCTAAGAAGGGATTTGTATCGCTGAAGTTTTTCGGAAAGAATTTCTACGGAAATTTAACAAACGAACAGAGTTAACAACACCAAGCACCGCAGTTTGTTTGGAATAATAGTATTCTAGGACCCACATTCTTTTAATTCTTGAAAATCCTTAGAAACTAGATATATAAATTACAGGGTTGAAAAATATAATAAACCTAATACTAATATTATGATAAACAGTAAAACGTACGTAAGATAGCACTTAATATCGATGGATTAGAAATATAAATATATAAAAACATGATTAATTATAAATGAAATTATACATTTTTACACGTACTCGCAATTATAAAGAGCTTTAAAAACAGAAGTAAAAGTGTAATATAAATGTAAATCTAACAGTATGACACGAACAAATATTTAAATATAATCAATTCATAACACAATGTATATAAGTAACTGAAGCGCTGACAACAAACGTAAGATGCAAATCTAGATATAATATATATATATATATATTTATACACAGAAGTAAGAAGAAATACATCAATATAGAAGAAAGCAGAATAATAAAATATACATCTAAGATTTATTAAAGAAGCTTTAGAGTGTTTATGTCGTGTCAGTTTCAATACTGGATCGAACAAACGTGACAATGTCCTTGATTATAACTATAGTAAACTAAAATATATAATGAGGAATTTTCAAATCATGTAGGTTTTGTATGAGATACTTAGCATTCTTAACATATTAGTCTCTATGGTAAACCAGTAGAGTAATTTACTTATCTCTGTTAAGATTGGAGTTGGTATGTTTAGCCAGTAGAGTGATGTATTTACCATTCTTAAGACAGGAATCTCTTTCGGAAGCAAGTATAGTAATTTTCTTACCATTCTAATGATACGAGTTTCTATGGTAAACAAATTGAGTGATTTAATTAGCATTCTTAAGATATGTGTTTGTATGGTTGTCCAATGGAATGACTTATTTATCATTCTTAAGGTATGAGTCTGTACGTAAGCCAGTAGAATCATTTATTTAGAATTCTCAATATAGGAGTCTCTATGGTAAGTCACTGGAGTGATTTACTTATCATTGTCAATTTAGGAGTCTGTATTTTAAGCCAGTTGAGTGATTTCTTATCATTCTTAAGATAGGAGTTTCTGTGGTAAGCTAGTGTTATTTACGTGTTTTGTTGTGTAGGCTAGAAGTAGGTACACTGTGGCTTATGTGTTACAGATGACGGAAAGGAAGAAAAATATAAAAAAAAAAATTACAATTCAATAACTGATCAGTGTTTAAAGTATTTTACAAGGTATCATAAACCTCAAGCTTTACATTAGCGGAAGAGTTATTGATGTTAACCTCAAGTTTACTCTTAGAGAATTATTTTATTAATTAATTATTAACACAAAATGTATTGGAATTCACTAGTCATTAATCAAACTTCTACAGAAGTGAAAGGTATTAAAGGATATTATTATTAGACTGTAACATATTTTTGTAATCTATATTCTGTATGGTGTTATGTTAGCCTGTAAAATAATAGTTTTAATACAATTTAAACTGTTTATGTGTCCTGCTAATTGTCTTATCATCACTTTAATCTGAATTACAATTTGAATTTTCTTGAAGCTAATTTTGAATATATTATTTTTCCTGTTTCAAAACTTTTACATTATTCCGCGGGAATATCAGCAAAGTGTGTTTTAATAATGTATAAACACATTTAATTACGGCTCTTTGAGAAATTAAGTTAATTAGGTAATAATAATTTCAATATAATCTAACTAATTCAATATTTATGACATCAATATAAAGTTCCTCTGAAACAGGAAATTTCAGTCCATGAAAGTCCTCAAACCTACTGTGTCTCCTCTGCTTAAAGTTATATATTATGTTAACACTACAATAAATCATCTTAACAATAACAGTAATACTAATACAACAGGAAGTTTCAGTCCATGAAAGTCCTCAAACCTACTGTGTCTCCTCTGCCTAAAGTTATATATTATGTTAACACTACAATAAATCATCTTAACAATAACAGTAATACTAATACAACAGGAAGTTTCAGTCCATTAAAG